GGAATTGTATATATTATTTCTAATTCGTTTTTTTAAGATGACGTTCGGAACTCAGATATTGACACTATCTTGTACCTTATACGAGGAAGTTATTTCACCACATTAGATGTAAAAGTTTCAACAGTTTCAGAAGTCTCCCTCACGGTCTCCAGTTTTTTGCTCGCATCCCAAAGAGATCGTATCCGCGTGAGTGGTTCCTAATATTTTCTCCATTGATATCTCTGTCTCGTAATGCTGACGATGCAGTGACAGAGATCCAGAGCCTATTCACCGCCCACCACCGGATTTTGAGGGATCCACACTCGGTGTTTGCGCAAAGGCTTGCGCTTTTGTGGCCCAACAACCCTTTGTGATTGCAGATAATGACGTGCCATCTGCGAGCCTAGGGGGTTTTGTTGCTAACTGGCTCACCATTAGTGTGTGGTAAAAAACTGGAAATGGCAGAAGATGGAGGAAAAATTGTAATTAATAGTTAAACTCATTATCATTAACTTAGATAGAATCACTATGCTGCGTATTTAAACCTGAAGAATACGAGGGAATGATAAGTTTAGGATAGAGTGAGACGACTGTAGCTTTGTTACAGACTAAGATGGCCGGTACTGATAAGATCGTAAATACTGAGCGCAAAGTGCCACTTCGCGCAATAGTTACACAAATAACTATTCCATAGCAACTGCAAAACTCAGTACAAAAGAAGAATTTGTTTAATAACGATCGTGGAAGTTTATAATACATGGTGATAATATTGATTTGATATTCTAACAAATAGTAGCATCTTCTTACCAATATTAAGAAAAAATCTATAAGCCTGGTAAAATTCTGTATATTGCAGACACCTATCAAGGTCATCCTTACTCTTTCAAACTAAAGCGGAAATGGATCATTCAGATGAAGATTCAATATGCCAAGTCAATTTGTTCAAAAATAGTTTACCCATTTCTTGAGAAAAATTTAGCTTGTTTGGAATTGTGGATATTTATAGGCATGCACTGTGGATGCGATACTCCCTGGTGTGGATGAACGTCCGCACGGGTGAGTACTACGACTATCCGCAGTACTATCCTGATAATTAGACCAATTCCTAATTACCAAGGCAAAAATGTGGTTCGGATTCCACTATAAACTGTTGGTCCCTTAGTTGCCATTAGCTGTATGGAAAAGCTGTGTGAGTAAGGAATGTCGGCCTTAGTCACTAACAAGACTAAAAGATTGCGCCACTCATCTCCATTCTTAAACTTGGCTTAAAATACCTACTTTGTATGGTCGCCATTTCATAGAACAGTATTAACAGTATTCTAAGGCAGATGCGAACAGTGATTTAGTTCAAGTGGTTGAAGTAAGAGAACTTGTTAAATCCGGTGTTGGCCTGAAAACAAAAATAATCTTGACAATTCTGTAAAACCGTAACCCCATCGCAGCAAACCTGCAAACTAAGTGAATTTCCAATTTCCATTTGCCTGATTTGACTCTATCTTAAATCTATTTAAATAGCATTTAGGTTTTACGAGCACCTAGGTTTGCTGCAACAGGGAGGGGGGGGGGTAAAAAAGTATGTTTTTTTGTAAAATATTAATAGCTTAGTATAAAATAAAGAAGTTGGACTGGTTTGATCAACATATATCCAGAAATAAGCAAACGAAAAAGTTTACTTATTCTAAAAAAAAAAAATAATAATATAGGAATTAAATTTACAATTTTTGGGATTTTTTACGTAACCGATAACCACATAAAAACAATTCTATATACTAAATTATTTGTTATTTTAAGCTCTTTAAAATAGTTTAAAGAGAATTAAGAAATCTTGTGTTTTAAGGGCAAAAAGAGAAAAGCCAATTTTTACCCCATAAAACCCCATCCCATGGTATGATCATGCTGGTTCGCGAACTCATTCAAGTTCATCCCGCCTTACATCTTCAAGCCAAATTTCATCAAAATGATAAAATTTGATCTTACACTACAGTACATTATTTTGCAGCAACATTATTCTGGTCTGTTCTGTTTATTCTCAGTGATCAAATAGTTCAGGAATCATTTACTAAGCAGCAGCACTTGACGGCTTAGCTAAGGCATTGAGTACTCACAATGGCTAGGGCACAGACTAGGGAGACAATAATTCTGTTTCAGCCATCGATCTCTATTATTATTTTAGAATTGAAAAGATTCACTTAACCACATTGTTAACTTACTTAAAAAAACATTGTTTTTTTACCTAACAACACAAGTAACGGAACAATGGGGTTCAAGGATTGAGAGCAAATAAGTAAAATTGTAATGCTTCTATAACTTCAACTAAGCTGACCAATTTAATTGTTAATGAGTGGTGCAATTAACTTAATTAGTGTTTGGTACAATGAGTCGTTGCATCACTGTCAGTGGCAATGAGGTTATAAACGAAAACAACCACTTTTAGAAGTTACTAGCAGTTTTACCAGTTTTACCTGCGTGCTTTGCAACGTGAAGAGGACACGAAATAGAAAGATTTTGATCTTTACATCTGATGTCTAAATACCCCCGCCGCAGCAAACCTGCAGACTAAGCGAATTTCCATTTGACTGATTTGATTTACACTGAAATGTCTACTTAAAAATATAACATTTATTCCCGATTTAAATAGAATTAGTTTAACAAGTAGGCCTACTTAGGTTTGCTGCATCAGGGAGGGTAAAACTGTTTTTTTTTGTAAAATGTTAATAGTTAGTAAGAAATAAAAACGTTTTCCAAATTTGATCAAAATATGTTCATAAGCAAGCAAACTACAACAGTTTAATTAATTCTCCATAAGAATAACATGGGAATTTTAAATTTAAATTTTTTTTTAATTTTCTCCGTAACCATTAGGCGCATAATAACGCTTCAATATACTAAATTATTTGTTTTTTTAAGCTCTACAAAATGGTTTGGAAAGAAATTGCTAAATTTTATGTTTTTTGTGTCAAAAATGGGAAAAACCTATTTTTACCCCATAAAACCCCCCGTAAACCCCCGTTCCCATGGTCCGATCATGCTGGATCGCGAACTCGTTCGAATAAACGTAGGTTTACACGTTTGTACCAAATTTCATCAAAATTGGATCACTTTTGCTCGAGTTATCGTGCTAACGGGCACATATATATATATATAAATATATAAATATATATATATATATATGAATTTGAACGGATGGTGTTTTTGGCCACTAGGAACCTCAAAACAAAAAACAAAAAATCGGTCCCGCGTCCAGGTCTTACCATGAGTACTACGGTAATAGCTTATTCCCTATATGGGAAATTCGCTAAAATGAAACAAAATTCAACCTTTATGGCCTTTATAGAAACTTTGTGGCTTTTAAATCTGATAAGTAGTGGAAACCATTTTGGTTTTGATTAATTAATTAGCCACCATACCCGTGCTTCGCAATCAATTACTATTCCATAAATCTGCTGTATATGTAGATAAACTTTTAGTAATCCAAGTATTAACTTAAAATATTAACTGGCTATACTTCCATATCCCAGACATTATTTTTTGGGAAATAAACCATACAAATACAATAGATTTTTATAAACATTTTGGGAAAAAAGTCAATAAGTTAATAAATTACGCGCTTTAAAAATAAAACTCCTTATTCACACCCTATCAAAAATTATTTATTAAGTTAAAAACATAATCATAAAACACTATCTTACTTTGACAGTTCTAGTTTTGTATCACAGCTGCTTGGTTGAAATTAGCACCAGTTGTCATAGATTTAGACAATTTATTAATAGTGTTGCACCCTTGTTGATACATCTTGTAACCTTTTTAATGCTATTGATCATCACAGAATCAATTTGTTTAGTTGAAACAGCTGTTATTAAGATTCTTTAATTCCATTTAAATATGAGTACCTATCTCATAAGGTTAACATGGGAAACTCCAGAGTCACTGGGGCGAAGCCCTTTCCCTTTTGACGGATCTGCACCAAACTACACACAAACCATCCTTGAATAATGCTTAACTAGGTGGCGTTCGCAGAGGCATCCACAAAATTGAGGGGAGTCATCAAGGGTTCATATTATATTGTTTTTGTCATACTGCAGTAAAAACAGTAGTTTTTATGCATGCGTTGCGGGTCTAAAGTAGCATTTTTAATATTTAGGGAGTAAAAATCGTTTTTAGCCTCTATGTAGTTAAAATCAGCTGTTGTCAACTCAGTTGTAAATTTTGATTGTAAACGATTGCATGTATCGAAAATATGTATCGATTCGTGCTTCGTAATCATTTTAACATACAGTCTACAGTCTCTTCCCGTAGAATTTTAGCATTGCAGATACATTAATCCATTCCCAAACTCAACACTGCTCAACTTTACTACTTCCTTCACCACACCCTACATCGTGGACCTGTTTCCCTCTCTTCCCATAGCATTTTAAGATTGTAGATACCTAAATCTAATCGTCATAAACAGATCCCACACTCTGAACAACTCGCCTTTACTACTTCCTTCACCACTTCCTATGTCACAGACCTGTTTCCCTCCCTTTCCGTAGCATTTTAGGTTTGTAGATACCTTAATCTAATCCTCATAAACAGATCCCACACTCCGAACAACTCGCCTTGACTACTTCCTTCACCACTTCCTACGTCGCTTATATTAGGTAATCCAACAACACTAGGAAACATGTCAAAATGTTTGTCCTTTGCGATTTTTAGATTTCCCAATGCCAATGGATTAAACATAGGCTACCCTTATGCATTTATTATCTCTATGGACCAAATACAGGCAATTTGGATGCTTCTATTCAGTATTGAGAGCTTTAATGTTTCTTATTGATTTATTTTTTCCCACTAGCTCAGTCAGGGGGTGGTCATGGGCATCTATCAACATATGGGTATTGGCTCGAGCCAATGATGATTCCATGTAAAGCTGTTAAGTCATCAACTTAGAACAAAATGATTAAATGATTTTTTTTATATATAAAGGATTTAATAAAAGCCAAGGTAAAATTATAGGTCAATACAAATTTTATTCAAACTGTATGTAAACATTTATACTACAAAAATTGTGAAGGATTTTTTTGTTTTTACAGACAAAAAGTAGTTTATGTATACTGATTCTACCTAAAATTTAAATGAAATTTGAATACAATTTTTTATAGTTTTATTAATAAACAATGATACAATTTACAATTTACACTAAGCTAGGTAATTAGTACAAATGTGCAGCTTAGGGAAACTAGTTAAATAAAATAGCGTTGATGTGAATGAACTCTTATAATTAATCTTTTTTTCTGTTAACACAACTTCAAACAAGTATTAGTGGTTATTTGTATTTCTGATTGTGAATTTCAAGTATAGCTTATAAACCGTCATAATCTGTAAACTATGAAATGAAACAAGTTAATCTGCCTGCCTACAGGAAACATAGATTTAGGCAAAGGAACAGTTATTTTCCATGTGTTCCTTCGACTAAAAACTAAGAAACAAAAATCATAAATAATAAATAAATAACAACTGGTAAGTAAAGATACATAGGATGACTTAATCCTACAACTTTAGTCAAATATTATCATCTAATTTCTCATGAAGCTCGTTGGTTTTCCTCCTCAAGACATGAAGTGGCTATCCTCTCATAGTCATCTAGACTTAAGGTAGATACTGACCGCAAGAACTCCTAAAAAAAAATCAAGGTTAGTAGGTTCAACACGATAATTTTAAAGTCGTGGCCTTAAAAATAAAGGTTGCTGGCCTGACACTACTGAAGATTTTACACAGGAAACCTTGACAGGCCCGTTTTTGACCCTGTCAGCGCCCTAGGCACAACTAACAGTAGCGCCCCTTTGCAATATATATAACAGGGTGTCCACCAACCGGGAAATCCGGGAATCATGCGGGAGTTTTTTGAACCGGGAATTATGTCTGAATTTTGTATTTCTACCTAGAGTTTTCAATTTACCGTGATCGCGCATGACAACATCAGTGATGTTTCCGTGACAGCGGGAGACGATAATATGTCTACACAAGGCCGCGAGGGATGATCAGAATATTACCACGATCACGGAAGACAATGATAATGTCCACACGACCGCGGGAAACACAAGAATTTTGCCGCGATTGCGGAAGACGATGATGATCTCCACACAACTGCGGGACATGATTAACATTTTGCCGCAATCGCAGGAGATGATTTCCATGTATTCACGACCACGGGAGACTGTTACGATGTCTACAGGACCGCGGGAGATACAATAATGATTTATACATGGCCGTGAGGGATGATCAGATATTGCCGCGATCACGGAAAACGATGATAATGGCCAAACGGTCGCGGGAAAAGGTCAGAACTTTGCCTAATTTGCGGAAGAGGATGATGATTCCACAAGACCGAGGGAGATAATTACCATTTTGCCACAATCGCGGGAGGCGATTACTTTGTCCACAAGACCGCAGGGGACGATATAATGATGTCTTCACAGCCGCGAAGGGTGGTCATAATTTGATCGCGATCGCGCAAGACGAGGATAATGTCCTCACGACCGCGGGATATGCTTATGTATTGCCTCGATCATGGAAGACGATAATTATGTCTAAACGACCCGACCGCGGAAAATAGTAAGAATCTTGCCGCAAACGCGGGAGACTATTACGATGTCTACACGGCCGCGAGGGATTATCAGAAGTTTACCGTGATCGCATGCAAATACAACCACCGATTTTTTTTATTTGCCAAATTGTTGGCGCCCCCCCCCCAAAAAAGCCAATTGCCTCGCGCCCTAGGCACGTGCCTACCGTGCCTATTCGGTAAATCAGCCCTGAACCTTGAAACACAGTACATTTCATACAGTGGCTCCTTTGTTGCTTAGAATGGAATCCAAACATTTTCTTGCACTTAGTGCATTGGCTATTATTATTCAACTGCAGTGAAAGTGTTTAAGAATTGAATAAACTGATTTAACTTCTGATTCTGACAGTCCATAACTAACTGAAGTAAATAACGAAGCAAAATACTAGTGTTCAAACTCTCTGGGATCATTTTGGGCAAAATAAAAAACATGTCAAACCATCATTGACTTAAATAAGAAAAACATACCCCTGGTTGGGATTAAGTTGGGTGATGGAAGAATATGTTGCGTAACAAGTAGGCCTATAAATTTCAAATTTATACCCAGCAACAGTTCAAATTGAACAGATAACAAGAGGGAGTCTACTGCCAAGCTGACTAAACAACAAGACACATATGGAATAAATGATGCTATGATGAAACAATTTGTTGCTAGAAAGCATTTAATTAATAACTGCCCCTATTACCTATTTGCTAATTAATACTGCCTGCTACTTGTTGGCAAGTACGAAGGTAGCAGCACTGTTCAGTCGCCAAAGGTTTCCTGGTTGTCGAATAATGCCAGAAGTAGTTAAACATAGGTGGGGAAAAATACCCAAATGAACGAACCAGAAATAGCCTACATCCCAAACAAACTTAGTACTACTTACGAAAAAAAAAAAAAAAAAACTAATGCTAGGAGATGCTGATGAAACAAGATCATGTTACATAATCTAACCTCACACTAAGCTATAAAAATTGGCATGACTCAGTGGTAAAATGTTACAAAACAACATTAGTATACATTTGTTTGACTGCAGCCAAAACAAGCACAATTAACATAATGAATAATCTCAAGCTCAAATGGTTACTTGAAATTGAGTCAGCCAAACATAGATGTGATTTACTCTAAACCTTTTTTGTTGGAATAAAAAAAAGTTTTCCAAGGTCTGCTCTGAGCTTTAGTCCCAAACAAGCGAGATAGCTCAAATCTGACACCAGCATTATGTCTTTGCTTCTTGCACTACTGTTCCAGCTGGTTTCTATCCATCTGCAATGATTAGTCTGCGTTTTAGTAGCAGAAACGATATGAAGAAAAAACAAAGCTCCATTTAAGTAGGTACAGTACGACGATCTGTGATTACGTTTCTGTGGGAAGGGTGGCCCTATTAAAATTATCAGATAAAGGATGAGTTGACAGAAAGGTTTTAGGACATAAAAATTGGAACTGTGACCTAGATAATTTGCAGAAGTTTGTACAGATTTGTACATAGATCTGTCAGAAGGTATTCTTTAATTTCTATCCTGGCAGTGATTGAAGTTGAGAAAACTTCTTGCTGATCAACGTAAGACTATCAGTGTTCACTGTTGTCCTTATTAGTCTAAGAGACATCCCTTATCAGTCTGGCAAAGTTTAGTCACAACTTGATCCATGAGCACCATTTCCGTAACTTTGGTCTCCCTCAAAATGATCCTGAAAAACAACCGCAGCCGGTCTATTTTAATCTACAGACAACTCTCATGATTTTCAAATGGACTTAATTTCTTTCTGCTACTTAAGGCACATTAAATTATTTCCTGACAATTCCATCTTAACATTACCTGCTACTATCATAAAAATCATATCTACCTTTCCAAACTCATCGACGATTCTCTTAGTCTCTGCCTCGGAGTAGAAGTCTCTCAAAAACTTGTATGCAGCATCCTTTAGGACTGTCAGGTCCTGTTCTCCACTACTTGGTTTTTCCGGCAGCTTCTTTGAACTGGTCTCTTGTTTCTCTTGTTTTACGATGAGGTTCAACTTAGTGCCATCTTTAATCGTTGGGTAGTCACTAAGCAACTTTTCATCTAGAAATAAAGTTATGGTTAAAAAATCAATGTAGATGAAAACCCAAACTAGGGAACTATTTCTTATATTTTAATGCAAAATAATGAGTTAGATTGACTTTTAAAGAGAGTGGAAGTAAATCATCAGTTTGACAATGTTTTAAATCTTATATTAGCATAATCTTATCTGATTAATGGTTATATAACAATAATTTGCATTGGTGATATTTATACCCTTGGTGCAACTCTGGTGGTAACTAATGAACTGGGTAGCTCCAATAGTTATACAGTACATTGCCTTGGCCGCTGACAGGAAGACACGTAGTATCTCACAACTCAAGCAATAGCCAGTCAGTCTGTCAGTCAGCACCATATAGATACATGAATGAAAATAACTAGTGTAGGGCTACTTTCTTCCACACATTGTGAACTTGGGTGGTTTGCTGACAAAGTTGTTAGTGTCTCAGACTTCAGTACGGGAGAGACCTGTTCAATTTACGGTGCATCCACAAAACATATTGATTTGGACTGCTGTTCTATAAGCATTTGTTACATTTTTCAATAGCTTCTGCAAGTTTGCGAGGCTGAACTGTGTCAGATTTTCCCTCTCACCTGTGAGGGGTCGACCCGTGAACAACAACTTCTGCTGCAGTACAGGCACTCCCAGCAACTTGTCCAGTTGTTCCTTCACCTCTGACACCCTTGTCTGGCCAGTCACCTGCAACATTGTACAGTATCATCTATAGGTCTGCATCATCACTAAAGAATATGACTAATTGGAGTTTAAAGTTGTCTGGATTAAAGAGAATAGACATACATGACTGTAGTGGTTTAATTTATAACCAATCTATAAAACATTTAGAACCGTTTAAAAGCTACAGAAGTTTGCCAGCACAATTGATCAAAACTTCACTTTTAAACCAGAACATTTACCTAATCAAACTCTAGTTAAGAGGTTTTACGATATGTTGATAAATCTGCTAAACAATCAATCACAGTTTCTTGGAATAAAGTTAATTGGTTTAGGTCCACCATGGACACAGCAGATCAATTGACTCCAGTTGAGGAGGTCAAATCTTGTTCCCAACACTTGACACATTGTCAACCATGGGATTGGTCAACCAGTACATAGCAGCACTCGCAGGTAATTCCATTACATAAGCTAGGGTCACGTCTTGTACGATACATCAAGTCAAATATAATCTCATTAAATCTCGGGGTTTATTATTTTTTCATTGGGATGTATGTTAATAATACACAACAACACACAGTTTAATCAATTGAAAAGTATACAGTAATATGCATGTTGTTATGTAATCGTTTTAAGACTTGTTACTTCGTCCAATTAGTACTGTAAGTGTTATTCATCTCCTTATCAAAATAGATGAATAAATAAAATATGGATACCACGATAGCTCTATCATAACTAATAGGTCCCAATGGGCAGTATACTGGACATATAATAGAGTAAAAATCTGCTTCCCCTTCTGTTGTGACGGTCAGCTGTTCTTGACGCGATATAAGTGTTAGAGGAAGTTGGTTTTGAAATGTAGGCCTATTTGTTCGATGAGGACATAATTCCTTTGCTCTTGATTCATTTTCCATCCTTTTTTCTCTATTTTAGGGAATTCTCCATAAGCTATTTTTAGTATAGGCCTAGTGTAATATTCCCAGGCCCCGATTGAGTGGTTGTTGTTGACAAGATGTAGGCAAAAGCATACTTTTGTTAAACATTTTTCAGTACTAGCTAGGGTTAATTGTATCCTATCATGCCGCTTTCATAGCCATTTGCTGATGCCATCTATTTTAGGAGATTGTGCTTCTTATAATATATTTTGATGGTTCATTGACCCCTCTTATCCAGACTCCTCAGGACCAAGGCCAGTCCAAATAATGGTTTTTAACTGATGTACCCTAAACTCGTTCAATTAGGAACATCTAATGCATATCCCAAATATTTTACTTAAATTTTTAAAATTTAAGTAAAATATTTTAAATTTAAAATTTAATTTTTTTGCTGATGATTATTGTACGGTTTAAAGAGATGTCACTTCAGCCGAATGAAATTTGGTTAAACCTATGACTGGTTAAAAGGTGGTCAGGCAGCACACCTATGTAATAAAGAGGGACTCTACTGTATAGTACTACCTTTTTTTTTTGCTGGTGTTTTGTGTAGTGTTTGATGTAGTGTTTGATGTATTTGTTTTTGTAGTGTTTGATGTATTTGTTTTTTTTTATGAATTGCATACTTTAACAATTAACAATTTAACAATTACTTTAACGCTTGCACCAAAACTAGTCAGTATTCAGCTGTTGATGGTGATTTGGACAACACAGAGGTAAGATAGCCTAATTTGAAAAGTTTCCAGTTGAATAAACTCAAAATTATGACAGTACAATCACTAGATGTATCACACACGAGACAACACAAGATGTGAAACATGTTATCTATATTTAACTTTATTCTTTATTTGTTTGTTTTCAGCTTGTCTAAGCATGCTTGCCTCGGGCTCCTGCTACGGTTGGATCAACCCGATCCTTTCACACTTGATGGGACCAGACAGTGAAATACCCATGACCACAGCTGAGGTAGCTTGGGTCATACCCATCATAGAACTCGGAGATCTCATCAGTCCACTGCCAGCTGGGATTCTCTGTGACTACATCGGACGCAAGCCTGTTATCCTGTCTAGTGCTCCCATGTACATCCTAGGTTGGTTTCTCATTCTCTACTTCCCTTCCCCCGTGATGCTCGGTGTGGCTCGGACTATTCACGGGATAGCCATGGGAGTAGCTTATACAGCGTCTCCCATATATCTGGGAGAGATCGCTGGTAACACCACACGAGGAGCGATTACCAGCTTGTTTTCAAACTCTTGGTGGATGGGCTTTCTTGTATCTTACTCCATCGGACCTTATCTCAGTTTTCAAAACTACACCTGGTTTTCCCTAGCGCTTAACATTCCTGTCTTCCTCCTCTACTGGCAGCCAGAAAGTCCTTATTATTACATCATGGCCAACGAAGAAGAAAAAGCTTATGAATCGCTCAAGTGGTTCAGAACATCGACCCTGGAGGAACTTAAAGCAGAAATGGAAGAAATAAAGAAAAGTGTAGAAGAAAATAAACGCAAAGCAAGTTTTCGTGATGTTTTTGCATCCGGTGTGGATCGAAAAGCACTGATTTTGCTTAACGCCCTTTTGGCTGTAAGAACTCTGAGTGGGTTGACTGCATTTTTGATTTTTACAACTGAAATTTTCAACCAAACCCCGAACCTCACAGTTTCATCCGACCTAATCACAATAGCATTTGGATTGGTCATGCTTGGAGGAAGTCTGATTGGGTCGTTTACTTCAGACACTTTAGGGCGAAGATTTCTGCTGATCACATCTTGCATCGGATGCCTTATATGTCAGATCTGTTTAGGGACTTATTATTTTCTACTTTTTAACTCAACTATAAATGTTTCTCAGCTCAGCTGGATGTCACCAATATTGATCTTAACTTATGCATTATTCTGTAGTGCTGGTATGTATGTTGTATCCTCTACTTACACATCAGAACTGTTCCCTTCAAACACCAGAGGTATAGCCTCCAGCATTGCTACCATTAATATCACTATATTTTGCTTTATCAGTCTGGTAGTCTATCAACCTATTATAGACTATATTGGTGTGTATGCAAACTTTTACACATTTGCATCGGTATTATTTGTTGGATGCATTTACTTTTACATTGTAGCACCAGAAACAAAAGGAAAATCCTTTGCTCAGATTAGATTAGAACTTAGCATGTAGAAGTTCCAGTTTTGATCTAAAATCTCAAACACAAAAAAATTTGCAAGAAAAAAAGCTAGATATTTCTTAATAATTACCTACACCTGTAACTTAATCTAAGCTACCTAGTACTAGGGGTGTTAAAAAATTGAAATATTCCGTTTTATTATGAAATTTTGGATGGGTTGAAGTCTGTTTTTGATAGATATTTCATTAAATATATACTGAACATAATATTTATACTGTGTCTTCCAGACTAAAATGCTTTTTGTTTCATCTTGAGTTCATGGTTACCGAGTTCCGTTTCCTTACGAAATGTTGGATGGGTTTGAAGACGAGAGATTAAATATTTACTGAACAATAATTAGGCTGTTTCTTCCAGATTAAAATGCTTTTTGTTTTATCACTCTAAAGTTCATGGTAACGGTACAGAGTTATGCAAGTTAACAAAAAGCCTTGCATTCAAAAATTAATGTGTTTCGCAAAACAAAAATGCCCGTTGTAGAAGTAACAAAAAATATTAAAATCACTTTTGAACTCGGAATTAATAAGGTATATATATATAGGTAAAAATGTATAATTTATTTTTAAAATGGTCAAGCAAACCCTGTTGGATCACTTGTAATGGAGAGACCCTACAACTTAGGTTTAGTTTTAATTTATTTTGCTGATAGGTTACAATCTTGTTATTTTTATAAAGACTAGAATAGAGAACAGACTTGTTACTCAGAAGTCTATAATATTTTTGAGATTATGGAACTTTTTGCACAAATTTCAAAAGCGTTGATTATCTTTTAACTGACTTTTCTTGCCTGGAACCATTATTTAAACAGCGTTTTTTTAGCAACAAAGTTAGGTTTGCTACATTCCTCTAATACAAACATTATTAGACTAAGTATGTCAGATTAAAGACAGATTTGATCAATGGAGCTGAATAGGGAATACTGTTAATACATTTGTTTTACTAAAAATATCTCACCATATATATTAAGTTAAATGAAAGGCTATCTTGAAATCTGTGTTTCCGTAACCTTTTTAGACAATGCCGTACTGAAGTTTTGCAATTCTTAGGAAGCATTGAGTCAAGAGAATCAAGTTTTATTGCCATTGACCTTTCTTTGTACAAAGGAATAGACATAGTCAAAACACATACAAAATATTCCAAATTAACAAATAAAATACAAAGTTTTACAAAATACTTAGTTAATTAAAATACAACATATCTAGAGAATATGGATCATGTAGATATACATCAAAATTCAATATCAACTTTTGTTTTTAGAAATTCATGGATGCCATAGAAAGGATTACTTATCAACCATTCACATAATTTAGATTTGAATATCTTGAAGGATACAGTTCTGGCCGAATCAGGAAATTTATTTAAAAAATTAATGCAGTTTAGTCTATGACTATTGCTACTTTTTTAAAGTCTATGAGCTGTTATGTCTAACTGTAGTTTATTCCTTGTATTATGAGAATGAACATCTTGTCTTATGTTAAATTCATGTAGGTTAATTTTTGTATACTGCATAATTAATTTGATAAATGTATAAATTAATTATTGTCATAATTCTAAGCCTGATGAAAAGAGGTCTGCAGTGATCCACAGGACCCGCTCCAAAAATGGTCCGAATGACTTTTTTCTGTAAAATAAGAATTTCATCTGAACAAGACGAATGCCCCCACAGCATTAGTCCATAGGAAATATGTGACTGAATAAAAGCAAAGTATGCCGTTCTTAAATAATCAAAAGTAACAAAATCTTTGAGTTTCCAGATTAGGCAATTAACGCGGGAAATCTTTTTACAGATGTTTTCTATTTGTTCTTTCCAATTTAATTTAGAATCTATACAAAAACCCAGCAATTTGACTGAGTGTTTTACAATTTCATTGGAGGGGCCAATTAAAATATTTTGCGTTTTATCCTAATTACATTTAAGCTTATTCGCTGAAAACCAAACAGAAGCTAGGTTTATGGCTTCATTGGTCATTGTATTTAGAGTATGAATGTCTTTATGAGTGGCGATTAGGGTGGTATCGTCTGCATATATTACAGAGTCAATCCCAACATTTCGTGGTAAATCATTGATACATATTATAAATAGAAATGGTCCAAGGACCGAGCCCTGTGGAACACCAGAGACCACGTCTCTTAAGCCAGATTGCATCCCACCAACTGAAACATACTGCTTTCTATTACTTAAGTACGAATGAACGAAACCTAACTGTGCATCTTCAATGCCATAAAATTTGAGTTTACTAAGCAAAATGTTATGAGGAACACAATCAAAAGTGCTTCAATGTGCTGTCAATTTCTTTGTCTTCAAAAGCATTTATTGTTTTATTAATTACTTTTAGAACTGCCGAAGCAGTTGACTTTCCTTCCCGGAATCCAAATTGCGAATCTGTCAATATAATATTGTTTACAAAGTGCCCATTTAATTGTTCATAAACCACCGATTCAATGATTTTTGAGAAGATTGGAACAATAGATATTGGTCTATAATTTTGAGGCAATAATATATATAAAGTATATATATAGTAAAAATTTACTATATGGGAAGAAGAGTCTACTTGTGTTGCTTAGTCTATGATCATAGCCAGCCTACTATATAGTAAGTTAAAATTTTAGCTTCAAAAGGCTACTGTCCTGAATTGAAGTAAAATTTAAGTATAAGTTATTTGGATTCAGGAGGTAAAAAACTATAATGTATGATATCAAAATTAAAAATTTGTTTGAGGCACCTATACTAAATAAATAGGTACCAATGTGTCAATAACTTGATACTAACCTAACCTAACCTGGTTTACCCAAAATAGGTCATTTTCGGCACTTTGCTAACCTAAGCATGGGTTGGGTTGGGTTAGGTTAAGTTAGATTAAGTTTAGGTTGGATTATATTTATTAAGTTAGTTTGGTTAACCCGGCACTTTGCTATTTTTTACGACGTTTCAAACCTGGTTTTCTGGGTAAAAACGGCATTTTACTCCTACTGTACCGTAAAAGTGTCCGAAGGAAAAAGTATTTAAAATGGACTAAGTTAAATAAGTAGCCTACCTTAGGCCTAACTTAGGGATAAAGTAAAAAATGAAAATTTTCAAGCCCCAAAAATCATTGATTTCCATGATGTTCAAACACGATTTTCAGGGTGGAATAGTTGGATCCCCCAAAAGTGCCAATGGTAAAAAGTGCTTAAAATAGGGTCCACTTCCGTATCTGTTGTCAAAAACAACCGAATGAAAATATCGATCCGTAGCCTAAGTATATCGATTATTTCATTCGATACTAGCTTTAACCCGTGGGCTTTGCCCCGTTTAACTTCTTAATTTTCAAGATGATCTCGTTCGCATGGCTCAATCACGTCCTGGTTGAAGTTCGTTCGCTAAGCTCACTCACCTTTAGGTTGGAGCTCGTTCGCTACGCTCACTCACCTTTAGGTTGGAGCTCGTTCGCTACGCTCACTCACCTTTAAGTTGGAGCTCGTTTGCTGCGCTCACTTGCCTTCAGGTTAGCTCGTTCGCTACGCTCACTTGCCTTCAGGTTAGCTCGTTCGCTACGCTCACTTGCCTTCAGGTTAGCTCGTTCGCTACACTCACTTGCCTTCAGGTTAGCTCGTTCACTACGCTAACTCGCCTCCAGGTTGAAGTTTGTTCGCTATGCTCACTCACCTTTTGGTTGCAAATTAGCTGTTGTCATAAATGTAAAAGAAATAATAGTGCTGCACCCTGTTGGTAATCCTTGTAACTTTAATGCTATTGAACATCATAGAACAGAACCAACTTGTTTCATTGAAACAGCTGTTAAGATTCATTAATTCCATTTCTCATAAGGTTAACATGGGAAACTCCAGAGCCACTGGGGCGGAGCCGATTGGACGGATCACAAAATTGATGGTGTATAAACCTATTCCATGAAATTCTACACGTATGTACCAAGTTTCGTGGCAATCGGTTCAGCGGTGTCTCAGTTTCACCGCCAAATATATATATATATATATAAGTTTATACAAACATTCTCTTTTATACTTATAGATATCGTTTGGTTAGTTCCTTACCTAACTAACCAAACAATATATCGAATGAAATAATCGATGGGCTATATCGAATAATTTTTCATTCGGATGTTTTTGATAACAGATACAGAAGTGTAAGCCTACTTACCCTTCAAATAAGTAAATTAGCCTAATTTTAATAGAAAAATGCAATATAACATAAGTAGGTCAAGTTCAGTATTACCCAAAAATAGGCCTAGGGCTACTATTTTTCACGTTCAGTGCTGACTACATCAATTGATGTACTTAGTCGCGCCACGAGCGCTCCTACTGGCCGACATCAATTGATTCAGTTGCGCGACCCCCACTACATTAGTTCAGTATGAGCTTAGCCATTGCTGGGGAACGTTAAAATCATTGCTAGCCTGTAGCTTAGAATGTGAGCTTTATTTTGGTGTAGGTTGGTACTAATTTCCTGTAAAATCCCGTCTGACAATGCTTTTGGGGATTTTCTCTCTTCAAGCCATATTACAAAGCCACTGACTACTGATCCAGGCAGTGCTACCTTTGGGTGTTTTGGGAACTACATCCAATCTCGGGGTAACATAGTACAATCATCGCTGCTCTTTTGATATCCATAAGATTGAAATATTTGAATGCCAATTGTGTTCACTGTTACGGTAACGTGCCGGGGCTCTGCCGCCATTGGCGAGCGCCTGTTAAAATGCCTGCCGCACTCAACGTGTTTAGCAGCCAATTATGTAGGTTAGGCCTTTTACTTAACTTAATCTTTTGATAGAGCACAAACCAGGCAGAGAGGTGTAGGCTATCATGATTACAAGTGTAGATTTAGGCCTACTGATTATTTTTGTTTCAACACCTTGCTATGAAAACTACTTATTCTAGTAGGACGGACGTTTCCCCTTAGCTTATCTAACTTGCCTAAGGCCTACCTCTATAGCATACTCCTGTCCTTGTAAAACTTTTACAATTATCTTCATGTCTGCAATGATTAAATAGGTACAAACAGGGTGTGAAACTTTAATTTTCAACCTAATGCTAGTTTTTTTATGTAAAGGACTATTTATTTACTAATTAACTATTTTCGTAGCACTTTAATGAGAAAACACTGTACTGGCTAGGACTAGAACTGAATTGAATTACTGCTTATTAACCATACACAAAACAACAACCGAGAGAACCTAAACTAAAAAAACTAATTTTATGATATTCTTTTGCTTTCTCTTTCTTCTTTTACTGCTTCCTGTTCTTTACGATCGTGAAGACAGCTATCGCCAGCTGTCGACCCTACATTTTTCCCCCTCCCACAACGATTTCCCCTCTTCGCCCTCTCGACCAATCAGATAACGCCTAGGTTTGAGCAGTACAGTCGATGCACAAAAAAAAGACCTCGCATTTGAATTTACCTTCTATGGATAATTAATAGTTTTCCGAACTAAAACTAATAACTGTGTATTTGTAATATAGCACATATACGCACCAAAAAGTATAAATAAATCGAAACATATAAATTTTATCATATATATGTTCTCAGCATACAAGGAGTGTTTGGACGTACTTGAAACTATGTTGAAACAATATTCGACCAAATATTATTGTTTTAAATACATATTAAAGAATTATTAAAAACCATATATAATATATTTAAGTTAATTTCAGCCTGAAGTCCAGCTAACGAATTAGCACTCAGCGTACTAAGAAAGTTCGGACAAACATTTACCTATGTTGTGACGATATTCCCCAAAATTTTATCATTTTAAATTAAAGTATACACTTAAATGTACAACATATTAAAAAATCATTAAAATCTAAACATATATATTTAGGTTAATTTTAGCTTAAAGTCCAGCTAACGAATTAGCGCTCAGCGTACTAAGAATGTTCGGACGAACATATACCTATGTTAAGACGATATTCCCCAAAATTTTATCATTTTAAATTAAAGTATACACTTGAATGTACAACATATTAAAAATTCATTCAATTCTAAACATATATATTTAGGTTAATTTTAGCCTAAAGTCCAGCTATTGAATTAGCGCTCAGCGTACTAAGAATGTTCGGACAAACATTTACCTATGTTGTGACGATATTCCCCAAAATTTTATAATTTTAAATTAAAGTATACACTTGGATGTACAACATATTAAAAAATCATTCAATTCTAAACATATATATTTAGGTTAATTTTAGCCTAAAGTCTAGCTAACGAATTTGTTCTCAGCGTACTAAAGTAGTATTGTCAGCGTATTGTCTGGTACGCCCTTGCCAGTAGCCGTATTCAGGAGTTGAACGTCGACATCCAGGCCATCGTCGTTCTCTCTGTCAACTGTGTCGGCGCTCCTCAGCTCGTACAGATGACCGTCGAGGGAGTTCAAGATGAGGTCGTTGATCTCCTTGACGTTCACTATCAGAGTCGAGAGGATTGCGCGTCGCGAACACATATCAGAGTCGAGTAGGACGTTTGCGGGAAAGACAGAATCGACCAAGGTAGATACTAAGTTGGAAGGACGAAGGTATGATGTACGATGGGGACGGAAGTTAACTGAGACCGAGTTAATACGGCGGAGAGATAAGTAAAATATGATCTAGATTAGATCGGACCTAAATTGGGGGGAGTACGGTATGGATATATTAATTAATGTATGAATTACAATTAAATTAATTGTAAGAACTTACTGGTAGAGGTGAGTTATTATTTTCCGAACTTTTGTCAAGCCCTTGTCCCAGTTGAGTTCAATAGCCCGTTTAACACTGAAAGAAAGATTTAAATGTTATGAAGATTTTGATTATGTTATTTTTTGGGTCAATATGATATTTACTAATGATATTGAGCTAGTACCTTACCCCTCGAATTCACTGTAGGTACAAAAAAGTACACGACAGGCATCGACATCGAAACAAGTAGGACAGATTCTCCTTTTCGTAAGAGCATATAAGCCTCTACTTTGGTCGCAGTGATATTCCTCATCGTACCACCAAGGCATACGGTCAACATTGCCCATCAAATGGGCCATGAAGCGACGGATCCATCGGTAACGAGTTCGCAAGGGAACTTTACATGCCGCTAGGAGGATTTACATTTACCAATTAGGTTGCGTCTGTCCGGGAAGTCTCACTGTAATCAGGCGGTTGGAGATGCCGATTACGATGACTTTAGTGCCGTTGACGAGTCCTTCAGCGATGTTGAGGTTCCTCATAATGAGGCAAACAGAGCCGATCTTCAGCCGCAGAACATGGTCTGGTACGCCCTTGCCAGTAGCCGTATTCAGGAGTTGAACGTCGACATCCAGGCCATCGTCGTTCTCTCTGTCAACTGTGTCGGCGCTCCTCAGCTCGTACAGATGACCGTCGAGGGAGTTCAAGATGAGGTCGTTGATCTCCTTGACGTTCACTATCAGAGTCGAGAGGATTGCGCGTCGCGAACACATATCAGAGTCGAGTAGGACGTTTGCGGGAAAGACGGAATCGACCAAATCAGTCAAAGACGTCACTTGTCTAATCCCGTGCAGCGGAATTAGACTTTGTTCGTTCCGTCCCTCCAAGAAAGTTGTCGAACTGACAGTCCCGTTGCCTACCTCAAGAAGGAATTCGGAATAGGCTGTGGAACCACTAGTCCGATGAGCTGTCGTCAGGGCAAAAATTTTGAAATGCTGCCACAGATGGGAAGCCCGAAGAGAAACACAAACTATGTCAGATGGCGTTCGAGCGTTCACAACGACGGGTGCGATCTGGCGGAAGTCGCCACAGCAGAGGAAGATTTTGCCACCGAATAGCTCATTGGAACGCATGAGGTCTCGCAGGGATCTGTCCAGAACCTCGAAAACAAACCGATGTGCCATCGGGGCCTCATCGAAGACAATAAGCCTTGCAGCCCTGATGAGCTCTGCTCGCTGGGAGCCGTTGGTGATATTCCAAAAGCCGGTGCCGTCACCGAAGTCGAGTGGCAACCGGAACATGCTGTGAGCTGTAGTCCCACCAGGCATGTTACCCGCGGCGATCCCAGAGCTGGCGACTGCCAGTGCAACCTGACGACAACCTCTCACGTATGCGAGAATGACACGAATAAGAGTGGTCTTTCCGTAGCCACCCGGACCGTCAAGGAAAATGATTTTCGAAGACGTTCCGCTGGCTGGGGCATTGAGAACGGAGGTAACGTACTCAAATACACGGTGTTGGTCTTCAGAGAGCTTTGGCACCCACTCCTCCACAAACGCTCTCTGTTGATTTTCGCCGTGTAAGAGCAGTTCTCTGCCCAACTCCGTCGTGTCATCGTGTACATCGGGGAGGCCGTGATCTGCGACGCAAGAGCCCTGCCGACGGAGATTACGATCAATCTCGATGAGACCTAGCTTGTAGGCCAGTTCAACATCGAGAGGATTACGTTCAATGTGGTCCTCGCAGATGGAATCACGGAATACATCCCACAGGAGAGCTGCGAGAGCTCCCATGTTGCAGAGGATCACAAAGAAAGAACGAAGTCTCGGGCCAGTCATGAAAGTGGCGGCCTCGCGCAGCGCGTAGTGGTACTCCTGTTCATCTTGCACCAAGCCAAGATGCCGCGCGACCTCTTGAAAAGTGCGGCAGTTCGGCCCACCGCGGGACAGGAGGTCGGCATAACCACGGCAAGCAACAGTCATCAGTAGGATACGCAGGTAATACTGTTCAGTCCTGCTCGGAGAGACCCAAAACAGTCTGCACACTTTCTCGCCGCGCTGGCGGGCCGTGATAAAATGGACGTGGATAAAATACGCTGAGCGCTAATTCGTTAGCTGGATTTTAAGCTAAAATTAACCTAAATATATATGTTTAGATTTTAATGATTTTTTAATATGTGCTACATTTAAGTGTATACTTTAATTTAAAATGATAAAATTTTGGGGAATACCGTCACAACATAGGTAAATGTTTGTCCGAACATTATTAGGACGCTGAGAACAAATTCGTTAGCTAGACTTTAGGCTAAAATTAACCTAAATATATATGTTTAGAATTGAATGATTTTTTAATATGTTGTATATCTGAGTGTATACTTTAATTTAAAATGATAAAATTTTGGGGAATATCGTCACAACATAGGTAAATGTTTGTCCGAACATTATTAGGACGCTGAGAACAAATTCGTTAGCTAGACTTTAAGCTAAAATTAACCTAAATATATATGTTTAGAATTGAATGATTTTTTAATATGTGCTACATTTAAGTGTATACTTTAATTTAAAATGATAAAATTTTGGGGAATATCGTCACAACATAGGTAAATGTTTGTCCGAACATTATTAGGACGCTGAGAACAAATTCGTTAGCTAGACTTTAGGCTAAAATTAACCTAAATATATATGTTTAGAATTGAATGATATTTTAATATGTTGTACATCTGAGTGTATACTTTAATTTAAAATGATAAAATTTTGGGGAATATCGTCACAACATAGGTAAATGTTTGTCCGAACATTATTAGGACGCTGAGAACAAATTCGTTAGCTAGACTTTAGGCTAAAATTAACCTAAATATATATGTTTAGAATTGAATGATTTTTTAATATGTTGTACATTCAAGTGTATACTTTAATTTAAAATGATAAAATTTTGGGGAATACCGTCACAACATCGGTAAATGTTCGTCCGAACATTCTTAGTACGCTGAGAACAAGTTCGTTAGCTAGACTTTAGGCTAAAATTAACCTAAATATATATGTCTAGAATTTAATGAATTTTTAATATGTTGTACATTCAAGTGTATACTTTAATTTAAAATGATAAAATTTTGGGGAATACCGTCACAACATAGGTAAGTGTTCGTCCGAACATTCTTAGTACGCTGAGGGCTAATTCGTTAGCTGGACTTTAAGCTAAAATTAACCTAAATATATATGTCTAGATTTTAATGATTTTTTAATATGTTGTACATTCAAATGTATACTTTAATTTAAAATGATAAAGTTTTTTGGGAATATCATCAAAACATAGGTAAATGTTCGTCCGAACATTCTTAGTACGCTGAGAACAAATTCGTTAGCTAGACTTTAGGCTAAAATTAACCTAAATATATATGTTTAGAATTGAATGATTTTTTAATATGTTGTACATCCAAGTGTATATTTTAATTTAAAATGATAAAAATTTGGGGAATACCGTCACAACATAGGTAAATGTTCGTCCGAACATTCTTAGTACGCTGAGCGCTAATTCGTTAGCTGGATTTTAAGCTAAAATTAACCTAAATATATATGTTTAGATTTTAATGATTTTTTAATATGTGCTACATTTAAGTGTATACTTTAATTTAAAATGATAAAATTTTGGGGAATACCGTCACAACATAGGTAAATGTTTGTCCGAACATTATTAGGACGCTGAGAACAAATTCGTTAGCTAGACTTTAGGCTAAAATTAACCTAAATATATATGTTTAGAATTGAATGATTTTTTAATATGTTGTATATCTGAGTGTATACTTTAATTTAAAATGATAAAATTTTGGGGAATATCGTCACAACATAGGTAAATGTTGTCCGAACATTATTAGGACGCTGAGAACAAATTCGTTAGCTAGACTTTATTTCTAAAATTAACCTAAATATATATGTTTAGAATTGAATGATTTTTTAATATGTTGTACATCTGAGTGTATACTTTAATTTAAAATAATAAAATGATAAAATGTTGGGGAATATCGTCTTAACATAGATAAATGTTCGTCCGAACATTCTTAGTACGCTGAGAGCTAATTCGTTAGCTGGACTTTAAGCTAAAATTAACCTAAATATATATGTTTAGAATTGAATGATTTTTTAATATGTGCTACATTTAAGTGTATACTTTAATTTAAAATGATAAAATTTTGGGGAATATCGTCACAACATAGGTAAATGTTTGTCCGAACATTATTAGGACGCTGAGAACAAATTCGTTAGCTAGACTTTAGGCTAAAATTAACCTAAATATATATGTTTAGAATTGAATGATTTTTTAATATGTTGTACATTCAAGTGTATACTTTAATTTAAAATGATAAAATTTTGGGGAATATCGTCTTAACATAGGTAAATGTTCGTCCGAACATTCTTAGTACGCTGAGCGCTAATTCGTTAGCTGGACTTTAAGCTAAAATTAACCTAAATATATATGTTTAGATTTTAATGATTTTTTAATATGTTGTACATTCAAGTGTATACTTCAAATTAAAATGATAAAATTTTGGGGAATACCGTCACAACATAGGTAAATGTTTGTCCGAACATTCTTAGTACGCCGAGCGCTGGATTTCAGACTCAAATATACTTAAGATTTTATGTATATATTATTTTATATGTTATGAATTTAAGTATTTCCCTCCATTTCATTTGTGAAAATGTGCCGGAAAACGTTACAACATGTGTTATATCGTTTAAATTAAGGTTTTAACATTTTTAACACAGTTGAGGTCTATTACCGTTGTATTAGATTGTACACAGGTAGGGTAGTGGGGGTGTGGAATTCTCCGCCCGCCGTTAGCTGGCGATAGCTGTCTTCACGATCGTCTGTTCTTTCTGTTTCTTCTTCTTGTTCGTCAATCGTCGTGCTCGCTGCCAACCAAACGTAGCAGAACAAATAAATCGTAAACCATATAATACCTTTATACCATGTATCCATCGATGACCTAAAGTACAAACTAATATTATTAGTAAATCAGCTGATCGCCCAATGCAAATCTAATGGAAATTACAAGTTACAAGTTGTAACTTGTAACTTGTAGTTTATTATGAAATGGGCCCCAGTAGTGACTGGATAGATTTCGTCAAAGAAAAACATTTACAAACATTTTAGTTTTAATACTTTATATATTTATGCGGTTAACATGGCTGTAGATTACGAGGTCCATTCACCATTTTCCTCTGTGAAATATTCCTTCATGGAGTACAGGGGCCGTGCCTTGAGTAGCTCCTCTACTCTCTTTTTAAAGCTCTTAAGAGGGATTGACTTTATGTCCTGGTGCAGGTGGTTATAAAGTCTGATGCCAAGGACCGGATAAAAGTCTTTTTGTTTACTAAGCCTGCAGAAAGGAACATTTAAATCTTCTCCTTTTCTCGTATTATAACGATGTAGCTGGTTTCTGCAGCTGAGGTTATCTATGTTTTCCTTGGTTTGCACCAGACAGTTATAAATGAATTGGCTGTAGATAGTCATTTGTAAGAATGTGAATATGAATATGAATAAGATTGTGACCCTTGGTTACCTTATTATTTTAATACCGGTCTTTTTTAAATCTTTTACTCCATGGGGGATTGATGGCATCATTAAAAACATGGAAAACTTTACTATCTACATATTATACAAACATATGTTCAACGCTGAGGCTATGGACAGGCGTACGTCAGCCTAAGCCGACCATTTTGAGAGTGTCCGCGTCAAACACGTCCGGGCTAAACACGGAGCCATGAAACATAGAGTGATAAACATTCATCAGGGATTTCTCTGTGACCAGATACCTAAGTTTTAGTAGCACAAAGCATACCCTTGACAGCTTATTGCAGACCTTATCTACGTGGTCATTCAAGGTTAGCTTCTGGTCCAGGGTTAGCAGCTTCATCAGAGCAATACTTCAGTGGTGTGTACGATAATTTTAAGCTAGATGTTCAATAGTTTGTGCTCCTGCTTTCGCTTGGAGTTAGCTATCATTTGGCTGTTCCACTAAGCGGAACCATAAATAAAACATACGAGGAGTATGTTTTATCTATGGCGGAACACTCCTCTTTCCGTTATGCACTATAGGGATTTTGCCGTTTAGGCACTGTAAAACATGAATGAAATTTCAATGTGGAGTTTGCGAAATAGTAATTCTTCTGAATGAATATAAATCATTCAACAGGTTCTCAACAACCTCTCTTTTTAACTATTCAATAAATGGGAACGCACTTGTTCGATCCACCTCGTTAACGAGCTTGGAGTATCATTCACATAATCTCTCAACCCTGCAGAATCAATGAATCAAGTTAACAGGATAACAATTAAGGAGAGCGAACTCAGCCCTTGGATTCATTCTAAGAGTATCCAGAGATGGCTTCTCTGTGTGGGCATTATAATGCTTTTAAGGACGTTGGACGTTATTCGTTAAGCTAGTGCGCCCCTTGTTGGAATATTGTTCTCCTGTATGGTACCCATCGGATATACAGTTGGTTTTTCACAAGACATCGAAAGAGTTCAGCTCCGTTTTCTGAGAATCGTGGGACTTCGTCTGGGATACACATTCAGGAATTTATCCATTGAGGATCTTCGACAACAGCCTCGTCAAGGTATTCCTCAAAATCTTGACTTGTTCTCCTCAAGTTCAATAACTTAAAAGAAAAGAGCTGCTTGCTCGTTTTTCATAATTGCATCCTTGGTAAATTTTGTTACTATATGCTCCAGTTTGTTATTGAATTTCTTGTTTTTATTATTAGTTATTACTATAGCTCAGTGGCTGTGATGTGGGGGGGAGGACTTGCACATGAGATTCGAAAAAAAAATAAACCAACGGATGAGCAAGAACCAGAAATTAGACTAAAGTAAAAGCAAAGCGCAGACTACTTGGTAAAAGTACTTGGTAATATAGCACACAACCTGTCTTGTGTGCTCTATTCAAATTATTCACAGTAAATTAAACAAACGTTGTAAATCTGATATTTCATAAATGTCGCTGGGCACGTTCCGGATGCAGATTAACCGGTGTCTTGTTCACCGGTACCACCCCGGGGCAAGAGTCTTGGTATCCCAAAACGCGCTCACTGTACCACCATAGAATAAATAAACCATCTATGGTACCACAAACAGTTTACTCGCGCATGCGCATTTAGAGGAGCAATCCGCAATTAAAACGGATGTAAAAAGAAACTCTGTCTAGTGCTAGTGTAGCGAGTCTGATCTGAGACTGGACTGAGTGAAGGAAAGGAACAAGTTAAGTTCGATCCGATCCAAGCTCCAAGCAAACAATCATCAATCCATAATCCAATCGGCAATCATCATCGTGATCGTATCTCGAATCGTATATATTTTATTATTATTTCACTGATTGATAAAGTAGTAATTCGTTATTTATATTTCACTTAAATAAGTTAGTGTAATTCTAATTCAGGCTTTAGACTAGCAATGGCTGGTGCTGGCATTTTGGATAGTGAACTTCAAAAATTAGTGGATAGCTCTAAAATTCTTGTTGTTGGAGCTGGAGGAATTGGTTGTGAGCTGCTAAAGAATCTAGTTCTCACCGGCTTCAAGGAAATTGAAGTGGTAAGTCAATTGAGTTTAGTTGTTTGTTGTTTAGTCTCAAGGCGTTAGGTATCATGGGCCTTAGTTAGGCCTAACTTAACTTCATTCAAGAAATTTGGAAGTGCTGTCATAACCTAGCTTAGGGCCGGCGCGCACTATCCCGACCACGACCAAACCGGCGGCCGGCGCCCGACCAGTCTGTCATTCACAATGCGACCAGAGCATGACCCGACCAAGGCAACAACGTTTTACAAACTTCAGTGTCAAGATGATTGTTGAAGAAGTAGTTTGCTGTGGTGCATTTGTAATGTAATTGGTGTGAACCTGGCAATAACTAGTGCACGTGCCTTTAAAAATCTATTGCTGGCCGTTTGCGAGCAAAATTAACGATGATGCCAACAGATAGAGGACACTTTAACAGACACGACAGTATCAACATCATGTACCTGAGGGATAAGTTAGGGGGGTAAAACCAGCAATAAGTAGTGAGCGCACACATAAAATCTATTGCCGGCCGTATTGCGGAAAAATACGTCCGCGAGCAATATTACCGATGATGCCAACAGATAGAGGACACTTTAACGGACAGGACAGTATCAATATCATGTACCTGGGGGATAAGTTAGGGGGGGTAAAACCAGCAATAAGTTGTGCGCGCGCCCGATAAAATCTATTGCCGGCCGTATTAAGGAGAAATACGTCCGCGAGCAATATTACCGATGATGCCAACAGATAGAGGACACTTTAACGGACACGACAGTATCAATATCATGTACCTGGGGGATAAGTTAGGGGGGTAAAACCAGCAATAAATTGTGCGCGAGCCCGATAAAATCTATTGCCGGCCGTATTGCGGAAAAATACGTCCGCGTGCAATATTACCGATGATGCCAACAGATAGAGGACACTTTAACGGACACGACAGTATCAATATCATGTACCTGGGGGATAAGTTAGGGGGGGTAAAACCATCAATAAGTTGTGCGCGCGCCCGATATAAAATCTATTGCCGGCCGTATTGCGGAAAAATATGTCCGCGAGCAATATTACCGATGATGCCAACAGATAGAGGACACTTTAACGGACACGACAGTATCAATATCATGTACTTAGGGGATAAGTTAGGGGGGGTAAAACCAGCAATAAGTTGTGCGCGCGCCCGATAAAATCTATTGCTGGCCGTATTGCGGAAAAATACGTCCGCGAGCAATATTACCGATGATGCCAACAGATAGAGGACACTTTAACGGACACGACAGTATCAATATCATGTACTTAGGGGATAAGTTAGGGGGGGTAAAACCAGCAATAAGTTGTGCGCGCGCCCGATAAAATCTATTGCTGGCCGTATTGCGGAAAAATACGTCCGCGAGCAATATTACCGATGATGCCAACAGATAGAGGACACTTTAACGGACACGACAGTATCAATATCATGTACCTGGGGGATAAGTTAGGGGGGGGTAAAACCAGCAATAAGTTGTGCGCGCGCCCGATAAAATCTATTGCCGGCTGTATTAAGGAGAAATACGTCCGCGAGCAATATTACCGATGATGCCAACAGATAGAGGACACTTTAACGGACACGACAGTATCAATATCATGTACCTGGGGGATAAGTTAGGGGGGTAAAACCAGCAATAAGTAGTGAGCGCACACGATAAAATCTATTGCCGGCCGTATTGCGGAAAAATACGTCCGCGAGCAATATTACCGATGATGCCAACAGATAGAGGACACTTCAACGGACATAACAGTATCAACATCATATACCTGGGGGATTTTTTATGGGGGGTAAAACCAGCAATAAGTAGTGCGCGCGCTGGATAAAATCTATTGCCGGCCGTATTGTACCTACTGTCGGGGGGAAAAGTTTTGACACTCGAGTTTGGAGCTCTACAGAATAGTAACCAAACTAACTTAAACACGTAGTATATATAAATTTTTGTTGTTTTATTCTACGTATTCCTGTGAAAACAAAGATTTTTTAGCTCGTTTAGGAAATTTGTTATGGCAGTCGGAAGCTAAAAACTCCTTGTTTTTAAAGTATCAAAACCCATCTTTAAAAAAAAATAAATAAAATAAAAAGGTCTTTATTAGCAAGCGTTTTTCAGAAGAATACATTCTGTTTTTCAAAACAACTCTTGTCCTCAATCCTAATAAACTATACATATAAAACAAACTATAAAACAATCTATATAAATAATCTATAAAAACTATGTAAAAACAATCTAGGATATACTAACAATCTATGAAAACAATTTCTAAAAACAATTTTGACAAACATTATTTTAACATGACCAGAATTTTCGATAGGCCTATTCGATCTTATGACTTTGAAAATTCGCACAATGTAAACTAAACGTCAGAACTTTATCAAACTTTAATACAATATACACACATATATAATGAACTAATTTGTGAAGTTTCCAAATTTTTACTCTACCCAAAAGGTTTTGTTGTAACTTTGGTAAATTAACTTTTTCTCAAAAACGGCAAACGCTAGGAAAAAATTGAAAAGCTTGTTTTGAAGGGGATTGGTTTTGTATTTGAAATATTGATACTGCTCAACCAAGTTGTGACGCATTTTATTTATATAAATTAACAAAAAAACTGGATGATCTCGCGCCTGCAAGGGGTGCAGACGCCATCGTCCGCGCAGGAATCCAGTGCAGTGTTGACACGATGGACCTTGACCGAGTGTAAGGTGATTCACGCAGTGTGTGTCACTGACGACTAACTCTCAGGAAATATCAGGTTTGGCATTCTTCCAAAGGGTTCAAAGTCTTACCATCCCAAATATGTCATCAGTAATCCACCTCAATCTGTCTTCAATTTTAGCTAGTGTCACATCGCTAAAAATGGGTGCTAAATCTAAATTGTCAGATTCGGAATATGCAATGATTGCCAGTGCTATATGTTCTTTTAGAAGTGAGGGAGTGCCGTTGGTGATCCAAAGCCCTCTTTAGAAAAGGTGATGGGAAATGAATAATTAATAATAACTGCTGTTCAGTTTTGACTCAACAGTTCGTAGCCCATCGCTGCCCAGTGTCCAGGTGTTCAATTTGGCAACACTGTACGGGGTTTGCGCCCAGTCAGAGCCGGTGGCGGTGAAGTGCTGTATTCGGCCTCCGCTCTATCCAAATAAAATGTTAACTTATATAAATAATATGCGTAACAATGTGATTGAGCAGTATCAATATTTCAAGTACAAAACCAATCACCTTCAAAACAAGCTTTTCAATTTCTTTCTAGCGTTTGCAGTTTTTTAGAAAAAGTTAATTTACAAAAGTTACAACAAAAACTTTTTGGGTAGAGTAAAAATTCTGAAACTACACAAATTAATTCATTATATATATGTCTATATTGTATTAAAGTTTGATAAAGTTCTGACGTTTAGTTTACATTGTGCGAATTTTCAAAGTCATAAGATGGGTTTTGATACTCTAAAACAGGGAGTTTTTAGCTTCCGAGATCAAACGATGGTCAAACGAGATCCGCCCGTTTATAAATATTTCTGTTTTGTTTGTATTGTTTGATTTCTTTGTTTAAATATAATCAAGTTCAATCGGTTCCGGTCACGCAAGGTGGTTTTTCATATTCGTGTGTTTAGTTTGTTTTGTTATCGCGTAGGTCCGTGAGAACACGGTGTTACCTAAATAATATAATGTGTGGTGTTTAGTTTGTAGTCAATGTTTATCGTAATTACTGTAGCAGCAATTCAGCTGTGAGATATTTTATTTAAAGGAGTAAGAGTAAATAGTTGATTTATTAAAGTTATTGTAATTTTTTGTTGGCTTCTTTACTAACTAACACGCTTTCATTTGTTTGTATTTCAGAACTGTACTAACCATTGCTATACCATTGCTGCACTAACTATTATTCGTTGTCTTTTATACTAGAACCAGTGCACAGTAGCTATGTTCTATGTAGTCGCTTAGCCGCTATTAACTGTTAGGCCTACTGTTTTAGGTAGCCTAGTTTTAGCCATCTACTAATTATTGATGTGTTGAACAATGCATTTAAATATTCTACCTTACGATACGATTCCATGTGCTGGAATCGTACGATACGTTTTGTACCATATGCTGTCCCATATTCTGTACAAATATGCCTGCAGGATTCTTCATAACTATGAACTAATAAATATATTTCCTGAGATCAAAAATTTCCGTTTGTATACTATTTTGCACTTGCTATGGGACATGGCTGGAGAAAAACTGGACGTATTTTTCCGCAATACGGTCGGCAATAGATTTTATCGTGTGCGCTCACTACTTAGCTGGTTTTACCCCCCCTAACTTATCCCTCAGGTACATAATGTTGATACTGTCGTGTCCATTAAAGTGTCCTCTATCTGTTGGCATCATCGGTAATGTTGCTCGCGGACGTATTTCTCCGCAATTCAATTCAATTCAATTCAAAACCACTTTATTCATTTCCTGTACATAATACATTGAATAGTGTCAACAGTTGTTTAGGCCTAATAGTTATGAAATACATTTCTAACATAATAAAATAAAAACAAAATTTTACAAACTTAATTTTTTTTTTTAAGTCTAAACAAAAAATACATAAATTGAATTTGTTTTTGACTTCAAAGACTATTCAACTCTTCAAAAGAAAAAATAGCCTTGCTGATGAGAAATCTCTTTAATTTATTTTTAAATATTGTTTTGGAAGTCTCTGATTTAATTTCAATTGGGAGATTATTATAAAATTTTGATCCCGCATACATGGGTTTTTTCTCAAAAAGTTTTAGACTATGGTGGCCAATTGCAAGGTTTTCCCGATTTCTGGTGAAATAATTATGACTATCCCCAACTCGTTCCAAATCATGAAGTCTGTCCTTTACTGATAAAATTGTTTCATAAACATACATTCCGTAAATTGTCATTATATTTTCCGATTTAAAATGTTCTTTATTAACAGAAGTTTCAAAATCTAAATTGCAGATAATTCTAATAGCTTTCATTTGCTTTTTTAGAATAGAATTCAAATTGTAATCACTAGTTGCACCA